CCCACCCCACAGCTGGCCAGCATGTGTGAATGCCATGCTTTAAGCCCAGGAGTATATAGCAGAGTGAGCGAGAGGCATTGAGGAGGGAGAGGGAGGAGCTTATATACACCTGGACAGGACAAGCTATATGTGGACATGTTTAATATCATGATTGGCATGCCGCTTTTGCAGTTCGACTCTGATTTAAGTCAGTTTTATCAGCATTTTCCAGCAACACGATTACATCAGCAGCCACCTCACTCGCCGTCAGAGCCGCCTTACAGAAGCCTGACTTCTGTCCAGGTCCGTGTTTTTTGAAGACTGGTGCAATGTTTCACTTTCAGACTAAATGAAGATAATTAAATGAAATTTATCCCGATAGGGTTTTGGTTGAGTAAGCTGTTTGATTGAGTTGGCAGCTCAACAACAGCCTTTTTAATATGACAAAGTTCACTTTGTTTTGATTATATCCTTCAGGGGTTTAATTCTTGACACTGTAACTTGTGAATGCAATCCATTTGCCACCTCAAACATAATGCAGTTGCCAAAATGGTGAAACACGAATGAATTGTGGATGGATAAATTAAAATTGGAATTGTTCACAGACAGATGGGATTTATATCAACAGGACACACAGTTTTTGGTTTGGTATGGACCTCAGATTTAGAGTCACAGCTCACAAATTGTGCTCACCTTTTACGACACTGTATCGTTATTTTTATTAACTGATAAATGAAATGCACTGTTTTGGCTTCCTCTCTGTGTCCCTCACTCTGGTCCAATGTCCTTCACGCAACAATATCTGATTTCATAACTAACAGCCAAAATACACTGAAAGCTATTGTTTGCGCAGAGGGACGGATTAGCGAGCCATGTTTGGAAGGTGAGGTAGAAGATGTTCATGAAACTGTAAGAAACGCCGCAATCTTCACCCAGAACGCCCAGCTTCCCTGTCACACTGAATATGTCAAAATAATTCACCTGTTGGTGTCTGTGCACCCAGAACTAGTTTGCTTGGCTAAGGCTATTACCAAGATGCTTGCTGTGCCTCTTAGCCTGTGGCTAATGCTGTCAGTAATACCTGTTACATCTTCCCAAAGTAGGGTTTATTTTAACAGTCTGCTCTAACGGCCAGACACGTCTCTCTCTCGCAGAGACACAACCCACAAAAACTGAACAAGAATCACAGCCATCGCCATCTTAGTGGGCAATAAAAAATAATAGAGTGAAAGAAAAACAAAAAACAGTGGACATAATCAATCCCACAGTGAACAGAGGAGAACAGAATTACAAGATGCTCTGACATCATCATCACTTTTGTTTAATTTTTTACATATTCAGTTGTAGTGATCAATTACTATTGATCACTGTAACTATTAATGAAGTTGGAAATATTGGTTATCATTCTTGATTAATTGCAAATTATCCATATCAGACCCGGTAAAACCATATTGGTTGAGTGATCACTTCAACACATTTGTATTTTAAGCACCAACAATAATTTGCTCTTGATATTTGAAGCACCCGTACTTGAGGCATAATACAAAAACATGCTGCTTAGAATCATAAGAATGGTAAGATAAAATGCATTTACAATCAAAATTAAAAAACTAACAAAACAAAGTTGATTTAGGGCAGTTGTTTGTTGTCACACAAGTGGATTCATTCGCACGGCTAAAGCATTTGCAGAGAACTGAACCGGAGAGAGAATAAGAGGCAGAGACGGATGGCTGGAGGAGAGAGTTTTAGAGTTAAAACAAGACGAGTGAAGAGATGGACCGAGCAGAAAGAGCCGGAGAGAGGTGATTGAGAAGTGAGGCCATGAAGAAGAAGCTTGGAGGAAGAGAAGGGAAAAGGCAGCCAAGTGGAGAAGTGTGTGCGTGTGCGTGCATGTGTGCGTGTGTGGCCAGATGGCTCCAGCGTGTGGCGACCAGCCAGAGGAACAGGTGCAGGTCACATGACCAGCCGTTACCACGGAGATGGTGATTGCTCTTGGCGTGAGGATGAAAGGAGAAGGGCCCCAGGGACAGAGGGGGTGAGGATGGAGAGGGGGGAGAGAGAGGGGGAGAGAGCAGGAGGGAGGGAGGGAGGCACAGAGCAGGAGAGGGGACGAGCCTCATAGGCACAGAGCAGGAGAGAGAGAGAGAGATCCAGGCATACAGTGCTGCAGAGGACAGCTGTTGTACACAATCTTATTGTGAGTTAGCACAACAAATACTTGCCTTCTTGTGGTTAAAAAAAAAGAATTATTTTATTTTCAAATCAATCAACATGTTGTCATCTGTGCTGCACAGTTGGATTCACATAGTCACTTTAATCCAGTTCCATGTTTGCAAATTAGCCGTATCCGCTAATCCCCAATGCTAACGAATCTCTTATGAAACCGTTTTAGCTGTACTCATTCTTCCTTAGTAGCAAAGAGCAGTGTGGAAAACAGTGGCCCTGTTTTTTGGTTCCTGTTAAAGTGACAAACAGCACTGGTGGCAGATTACAGCTGTAGCCAATCAAAGTTCATTCCACAAGTAACTTTTATAGGCAGCAACAAGCTGTAACAAAACTTTACTGTTGTCTGGGGGGAAGTGCTGTTTGTACTTGGCCATAGATTGTTTGTGGAGTAAATCAAGCACCACTTTCGCTGCTGCAGAATGACATGTAACCAGGGATTTCAGTTTTTTCCCTTTATCTTTTCACAGTTTTTTGTAGATGTTTCAAATAGGGATGTCTCAATTATGCTTTTTATTCACCCCAGATCCAAGTCCAGTCATTCAGTATTTAGTGTCTGCAGATACTTTTTTTGACAATAGATTCATAGTATTGTAGATTAGCTGTACTACCAGAGGAGGTACGCAGTTCTGTGAGAGCATTGTAGGCCTTTAGCTAGCAAAGGGGCACCAAGTCTTCTGTGAAGGTTAATGACCTCCAACCAGCGCCCATTTATTAAAACAAGTCTGGATCAGTTTGGACATTGCTCTTATGTCCCAATCACACATTTAACTGCTCCCTTTGCAAACTGTATCACGTGTCTGTGGCTTTGCCAGCAATGTCATCCCATGACCAATTAAAAAGTGTGGTGAATTTATATTGTCAGTCAATGAATTATTGATTGATATTGCTGCTCATGTTAAATAAATTATTCAAACATGTGTTGCAGTCGATTGGGCTCAGTTTCTTTTGACCCCGATGCTGATTGAAGGATCGGGCTCAGGACATCCCTAATGTCAAATAAGTATCTGAAAAGGTCAAAGTGGACCACTGTCAATTCTAAGTGGATTTTGGAAAGTGTGAAGTTGTTGGACTGATACCAATGTATATTGCTATTGAATTTCCTTAATCTTTTGGAAGACATAAAAATTCAGCATTAGCAAGGAATTAATGGGATCTGAAAGCCAGGCGTCGATCCACCTTGTCGGCAGTCAAAATATAATTTCAGGATGTCTAAGGATCAATTCATGGTTTCTGTGTTGTTCATACAGCAGACGATCCGCATGGCCCTTATATTGAACACAAGAGAAATACGTGGCAGTTTTTACAGCACATATTAGCAACACGCAGATTGAGCTGTAGCACCGTGTCAGTGAATATTCCTGAGGTGTGTTGAGCTCAGTGGGGGGTAATTCTTGAGAATTTAGAGCTTCCCACTGTGTTGGCACTGCTGATGGAAAGCACGTCCAAATCAAAGAACTTTCAAAGTCCAGCAACCACCATTTTAACTGTAACTTATTTAAGAATTAAATTTTAAGGTGTGGATAATGAAGACTCTCCTTGTGTTCTCTATACAAGTATTTGTTTTTAGCACCACTTGTGTTCCTGGTGCTTGCTTGCAGTCTGTACAGTCCGTGTGGTCACAGATTTTGGGCTGCAAGCGGACGTTGCAGAGGGGTCTGTGTGGACCTTCAGGGAGTTGCGTGCATGACAAAGTTTCCCTTGTGTACCATTGCTGATATGTGAATGTGGAAAGCACGAGTTAGATGAAACCTAAACAGATTTGAAAGTATTTGCTTTGATTTTCATAACGGATTTGAATGTAATAGGATGTTATTGATCCTCAAAGAGCTTCCTGTTAAACACCAGTGACCCGAGAAAGGCGGCTACTCGGACTATCAGTGTTTCCCTGATGGCAATCAGAGAGCATTGTGGGAGTTAGGCTAGCAAAGGGCCACCAAGAGAAAGTGCCCTGTGATGCTTAATGGCTATCGGGGAGAGCTTTGAGTTGTTGGTGAGCTGAAATGATGAGGATAGTATGAGTTAGTGGCTGATTGTTTATGCCAGTAGAGTTGTCCATGTGATGTGGCATAAGCTGTTGGACTGGTTTACGTCATGTGACCGTGCCGACTGTCTATCAGGAAAGACGTTTAAAATTTGAATCTCTAGTCCGATGCAGCACTGACGTATGTGGCAGTGGCAGGTTATCCCAACATTTTAGGTGAATTCAAATCAGCCTTCGTTCAGCAGTCCAGTGGTTCCAGCAGCGGTTGAAAGTGCGTCACGAGACCTCGGGTCTGCTGCTGGAAGTGGTATAAATGAGAGCGATTGTGTGAGAGACAGAAGAGGGATGCTGAGTGTCCTCTCACCTCTGTGGTGTGAATGCACACTCACAGATAGAGCCAGCTCCTCTTTCTTTCCATGCCAGAGATTAGAGGAAGCCTGGGGGCCTCTCAGCCCCTCCCCCTGTGCTCAGTGTCTGCCTGTCTCTCTCTCCTCCCCCCTCCTCCCTCCTGGTGTCTCTCTCTCCGGGCCCCCCTCTCTCCTCCTCTCTGGGCCTGTATCTCTCCATCTCGCCTCCTCTCTCCCTATGCCTCCATGCAGTCTTTCATCATATTAACCCCCTGTGTGCCAGAGCCCGAGGCACACTAATGATTTCTAAATGGGTAAATCAAACATGGCGATCGCCCTGGGACAGACGGGGGCGCACACACACGTGAACGCTTGGTAGTCTGTAAAAGACTTTGAGGAATGGGTTTGTGTTGTGTGCAGCCACTTTCTATCTTAATCTTAAGGTTTTTTTCTCTCTCTTCCTGCAGCAGTAAAAAGGTGGAGTCGGAGGGCGGGGCTAGCGCTGCTAAGAAGGATTCTAAGAGGAAGAGAGAGTCATCAGTCAGTGATGACGTGGAGGTGAAGTCTCCACCCCCCTCTCCTCCTGAAGAAGAAGATGATGATGGTGTGCAGGTAGGAGAAACCACAGCAGTATTTTTGACGCTCGTTTCAACTTTCCAGGCCTCCAACATAACTCCCGAACAAGCCACGGCCGATAGAGCGCACCAGGGTGGCCCAACAAAAAACAAAAAGCAGAAGGCCATAAAAGCTCTGCAGATCCCTCAGTGTCACGGCCTGTAGAGATAGAAGGCACCGAGCCAGTAGGCATCTGCTGTTTGTGTTGTAAACCAGCCTTGTTGACAGACCAAGCAGACAAGCCCCCTGTCAAGTTCACATCGCACACATCAGCAACTTTTCAGCTGCTGCATACATTTTTTGATAATGTATCTGCATGTATCTTTTCGACTGCTGGTTTGGTTACAGTAACATTTAAAGGAAGCAACATTCACGTTTGTGTGTGCCATGTACAGAGTAGCATCTGGCTTTTAACTGCATCAAGAGTCGTGGCTCTGATTCAAATGGGAAAGCTGCACGTCCCCTTTAACCTGGTCTTTACAGTAATTTTTTCCATACTGTTATAATATGGAAACATGTTGAGCCCAACAAATTGGATGATGTTTTCTTCAAAGTCAATATGGATAACATGCAAGACCATATGGAACAGAATAATGAATAATGAAAATGAGGTCTGTTTCTCGGCCACTCCAAGCACACACAGCCCTGTAGTTTCCTCTCTCCACCACTGAGTTGATATGAAGTAATACAACAGTATACAATATGCTGTTATTTAAATGTTGACAATTCCTTTTTGTATGGTGATGCTTTAAAATTAGTGAGTGAATTTTTAATGAGCAAAGCAACAAACCATCTAATAAGAATTTCTGGAAGGGCTACCAAACCGTTGCCAATGAACACTAAACACTGACCTGATTTTTTCCTCCCATTTTAACAATCAGAAGCGTCGCTCCAGCCGTCAGGTGAAGAGGAAGAGGTACACAGAGGATCTGGAGTTTAGGATCTCTGACGATGATGACAGCGGAGACGACTCTCCAGCACCAAAATCCCCATCGTCCTCATCACAGCAACAGGTAGAAAGCAGTTTGTTATTTTATGTATAGTGTGACTCACAGGGCGTAGGCTGCAGGTATAGGCCTGCTATCGGCCGCTCACGTCAGGCATTCTGCTTCCGCTATCTGCGTGTGTTAACTGTTTTTTAAAATCCACTTCACTGTGGGAAACTGCAACAACAATTACTGTGCTAGCAACATACCACACTGAGAATTTTGAGTTTTGCTGAGGATTTGGATTGTGTAAGGCAGCACTGCTATTTTTTTTTTGCAGTAAATTGTCCATTTTAATGACAGTGTTTACGTCTTTGCATGCAAATAGCCACCGAAAATATTTCATCCATTCCTATTTTGAAAGAACACCAAATTTGCATTCTTCCTTTAGCTCTGCCCAAGACAGCTGTGATTGGTTTTAAGAAATAC